AGGTGGCTCGTGAGACGGTGACGCGCGAGGATGGGCTGGGGGACAGCTTCAGCCTGTGGGGAAGGAAAGGAGGGCCGGACTGGTGGTGGCAGCCCCAGACAGCCCAGGGCACGCAGAGTGGCGGCCGCGGCCCAGCCCCACCTCCACCCCTGCCCAGCACTCCCAGCAGCCCCGTCTCGCCTCTCCTCCTACCCCGCCCCTCTTCCTCGCTCCGCGCCCCCAAGCCCCCAGGCCTGCCGCACCTCTCCTCCTCGCCCTCCAGGAGCTTCCGGTAGGCGTTGATCTCCATGTCCAGGGCCAGCTTCACGTCCAGCAGCTCCTGGTATTCGGCCAGCTGCTGCTGCATCACGTCCCGCATCTCCGTCATCTCTTGCTCCTTGGCGTCCAGCATCTTCCGGAACTTGTCCCGCTCCCCGGCCATGGCCTCCTCCAGCTCCCGGATGCGATCTTCAGCGGCGCTGGCCTGCGGAGGGGGCGGGCGGCGAAGGTCAGGGCAGCCCCTGAGTCACAAGGCCCGGGTGATCCTGGGACTGCGGGAGAGGGGCCCTCACCGCAGACTGGGGCAGAGACCAGGGCTGGGCATGGGGCGCACGGGACGGGAGGGAAGGGGCATCTCTGGGCGCCCCGAGGGCTCCATCCACTGCCAAGAGGCCAGAGCCCCGCGCCCCGCACATCCGGGACAGGGCCCAGAGGTCAGGCCAGGGGGCCGGCGGGCGGTGGCGCTGTGCGCGTCACCTGCTTCTGGAGGCCGGAGAGCTGGTAGCTGAGGGACTCCAGGCGCATGCGGGCCTCCTTCAGCTCCTCGCGAGCCGCACTGGCCGCCTTGTCGTTCTGGTCAGAGCTCAGCTTGGCGCTGTCCAGCTGTGGGGAGATGGGCAGGTGAGCGCGGGCGCGGGGTGGGGGTCCCACCGGCCACCCCTGCCCACCCGCCCGCTGGCCACACCTTGGCCTGGTAGGTCTGCTCCAGCTCCAGCTTGTAGAGCCGCACTTGTTCGTCGTGCTGGCTCCGCAGCTCCTCCAGCGCCTGTGCCATCTTGAAGTCATACTCCTGCTGCCGGCTGCTGTCCACCTCCACCAGGCGCCGCTCGTGCCGCCGCCGCGTCTCCCGCACCTCCTGCGGACCGAGGCCTCATGACCCTCCGGTCCCGCCTGGGCCCCAAGCACCAGGCCTAAGGGAGGGCTCCAAAATGTGCCAAGAGGAACCTCCAGGCAGTTCCTGGTTCCTTGTGCACAAGTTACAAACCGATACACGTGCAGGTGAGAGGCGGCCCAGGGGCCATCCACGCGCTAGAACGGACTCAGCCACGAAAAGGAGTGAGGCTCTGACACCACCAGGCATGAATGCACCTTGAGGACGTCACACTCAGCGAGAGAAGCCAGACAGAAAACGCCACCGTGTGTGATCCCATTTCCATGAAATGTCCAGGACAGGCCCATCCATGGAGACAGGGAGGGGATGGGTGGGTACCGGGGCTGGGAGTGACTGCTGATGGCGGGGGGGTTCTTTTCGGGTGATGGAATGTTCTAGAATTAGAGGTGGTGGTTACAAAACCCTGTGGAGATCCTGCCAATGCTGAACTGTACACTTTAAAAAGGTGGACTTAAAATAGCCGGGTGTTGTGG